GGTTGAACAAGGAGATTCTTCTAAAGAAGAACCAATACATGATGAACAAGAACCATAGAGTTATGAAGCTCCAACAATTCGTCAATCAGATCGTGTGAGGAGACGTCCCAATTGGCACTCAGATTATGTTATAGAATGAAATATTGCATACTGTCTTTTAATAGAAGAAGGTGAGCCATCAACGTACCAGGAGGCAATAAACAACTCAGATGCTTCACTGTGGATGATGAAGATGCAAGAAGAAATCGAAGCCCTTCAGAAAAATAATACATGGGACCTTGTACCACTACCACAAGGAAGGAAATCAATTTGTAACAAATGGGTCTTCAAAATCAAGTGAAATTCTGACGATCAAGTTGAGAGGTATCATGCAAGACTGGTGGTCAAAGGATATTCTAAAAAAGAATGTATTGATTTCAATGAAATCTTTTCTCCCATGGTTTGACTAACAACAGTTTGAGTAGTCTTGGCAATGTGTGATACATTGAACTTACATCTAGAGCAACTAGATATTAAAACAACTTTTCTTCATGTAAATCTTGAAGAAGAAATTTACATGCTCCAGTCTGAAGGTTTTGAAGAAGAAGAAAAGAAGAACTTGGTTTGCAGGTTGAACAAATCTTTGTACGGTCCAAAGCAGACGCCGAGGTGTTGGTATAACAGATTTTATTCCTTTGTTATGTACCTTGGATACAACAGACTTAATGCAGACCCTTGTGCTTATTTCAAGAGGTTTGGTGATAACGATTTTGTTATATTGTTGTTGTATATGGATGACATGTTGGTTGCAGGACCCAACAAAGATCATATTAAAGAATTGAAGGCTCAACTGGCTAGGCAATTTGAAATGAAGGACTTGAGATCAGCAAACAAGATTATGGGGATGCAAATTCACCCAGACAGAAGTAATATAAAGATTTGGCTTTCACAAAAGAATTACTTGAAGAAGATCTTGTCACGATTCAACATGCAAGATTGTAAGCCAATTTCTACCCCTCTTCTTACTAACTTCAAATTATCCTCTAGTATGAGTCCTAGCAGTGAAGAAGAGGTGATGGAGATGTCTCGAGTATCGTATGCATCGGCAGTATGAAGTTTAATGTTCGCCATGATATGCACAAGAGCAGACATTGCACAAGCAGTGGGAGTGGTTAGACGGTACATAGAGAATCCATGCAAAGAGTAGTGGAATACAGTAAAGAGGATCCTGAGATACATCAAAGTGACCTCAAATATTGCATTATGTTACGGAGGATCAAACTTACTTATTAATGGGTATGTAAATTCTGACTATGCAGGGGATTTGGATAAAAGCAAATCTACTACAGGATATGTGTTCAAAGTTGTTGGTGGAGCTATAAGATGGGTTTCAAAATTGCAGTCAGTTGTGGCTACGTCCATAACAGAGGCAGAATATGTAGCAGCTACACAAGCCAGTAAAGAAGCAATTTGGTTGAAGATGCTATTGGAGGAGCTTGGGAACAATCAAAAGTATGTCTCTCTATTTAGTGACAGTCAAAGCGCCTTGAATTTAGCAAGGAATCAAACATTTCATTCAAGGATAAAACACATACGAGTTCAGTACCATTTCATTCGTGAAAAGGTGGAAGAAGGACGGTAGATATGCAGAAGATCCATACCAAAGACAACATAGCAGATTTCATGACGAAGGCGATCAATGCTGATAAATTTACTTAGTGTCGATCCTCTTGTGGCATGTTAGAAATGTAAGCAACATGAAGGTACAAGGTAAAAAGAATGGTGTGAAGATATGATTGTTCAAATCAAATCTTCAAGTGGGAGATTGTTGAAAAGTCAAAAGTTTGGCCAACTTGGACACTTTCGGTGAATGGCTATGATTTTCGGTGCAAAAGCAATCGAAATTGTTGAAAATTTTTTATGGTAAAATTGCACATTTAGTTCTTGAACTTTAGGGTATTTACAATATTACTCCTTAAGCTTCAACTATAAATACCCTAACCCATTTAGCTTAAAAACCATCCCAAATCATTCTAGCTTTCTCTCAATACTAGAGAATTTAGAGAGTTTTCTTGAGAGTTGCTTTCTCCTTTTTATCAAGAGAGAATTGTTACTGTTTTCTCCTTGTTAGATCGAGAGAAGTTGTAATTCCTATTTTCTCATAGTGAAATTCTTCTACCGTTGCCCGTGGTTTTTACTCTATATTATTTAGGGGTTTTCCACGTAAAATTTGTCTCTTCTTTATCTTCATCTTCATCTTTATTTTCTCAAATTATCAGTTGCGATTTTGCTCTATCCGATAGCCGTATTCTGCAACAGGTTGATGTGTGTTGATGCTCGATATTACAGAATCGATATATAGAGATCAGTTGAGAGATGGAAGATGAAATTTATTTTCACTAAAAAAAACAAAGGATTGAGATTTCAATTGTTGGCACTTTGAACAATATATAAGAGCCAAGTTCATGAAGGTTTGACTTGTTGATACAACAAAAACCTACCATTCTAAGCCTCTTTGATGTGAACCAAACTCTACTTTACTTGGTCAGCCCTTAGAATTTTGACTAAAAAGAAAAATCTTTTTGAAGGCCGTCTTCCAACACACACTGCTCATCAGCAGACCATTCGATATCCAACTCAAACCCTGGATCAAAGAAGGGGAGGTGGTCCCTGGCAAGCCGATGGACGGCGGAACAAGGAGCGAAATCATCTTAGACAATGTCATTGAGAAAAAAAAATCACAAGTAATAGTAAGATTTAAGTCAATTTAAAAAGTTGGTATTTTTTCAAAAAATGAGTATTAATTTTTTATAAGTTATTATAATACCGTAGTGATTATTTTTTAATAGTATGATAATTATTTTATAATTTTATTGATCAAACGGTAATTGTCCAATGATTTTTGATATATTTCATCTATATTTCGTTTGTATTATATAATAATGGATAATAGTGCTCGAGTACTTTTCTGCATAAGCTACCTTAATCCACCCACCATTAAACCATGTGCCTTAGTTATTTAATACGTATGGGGTACCGTCTGCGAAAAACAAAACACTGTTATCAATATACCGAATAGTAATTATATTTTAATTATAAGAAATTATTTGTTTATGTTTACGAATTTGTCTAAAATTACTGTCAACCTAACCTCTCCTTCACAGCTCATGCATGGAGAAAACAAGCCTCCGCTAATGGTTCAGAGAACTGGAGCTCCTACAACGACGACTTGTGTCGCTTCATCGAGTGACTCAGCTCCTGCTGCCGGGTTTTTACAGACAAAAGTCTGTTATCGAGTGGCGTCAGTCCGATGCAATGGGATAAGTGTAGCTTGATGGCAAGGCAAACATTTGACTGAGAAATCCACTAACTTGTTGCCCAAGTTTGGCCGAATTTTTAGTAATCAAGTTAATGAAGCGAAGCAATGTAAAATTCGAGTCTCAAAACAAAAGCATAATTTTCATCCTTGGTAAAGAATCACCGAATTTGCGATGGAATTCTTGTTATCTAAGCAATTTTACATAATTGTAATAAATATGATCGAATCAATTAACAATAATTAAATCTATTACTTCCGAATATTACTGATCATTACCTGATTTAACAAATTTAGTGGTTCAGGACTTAAACTTCAAAATTTGAAAAATATAGGAGTAGAAATTATCGAATTATAATATAGGGGCTGAATACGTAACTTTAGAAATGATAATGGAGTATTAGAATTTGACCAAATTCCACTCAAATAATAAATCCAAATATTATAATAATAATTGAGGTGAGCAGTACCCAGGGAGCATGACGACATATTCCATGACACCAGCAAAACATTCTAATATTAACCAAACAAACCGAAGCATAGAACCTCCAGAAACCTTCCCTTCCATCTTTACTTTAATATAAATTTCTTGGCGCCACAATTTCATCTTATCTCTATGTTTTCAGTTCTTTGATTTTAATCCTCCAAAATCTCGTAAACCTTATTGATTCTCTTATCTTCACTTTTTTTCATTGTTCTAATGATTTCTTTCAACCCTTTTCTTTCTTTGTGTTCTTAAATCTTCCCATAATTCGTTCTGATATCTCTCTCTTTCCAAGTCTGGTAAGTCTCTCTCCTTTTACTATAATTGATTTTTCTTTGTTTTTCAAATTTTTTATGAATTTTTTTTATGTTTTGATCTCTTTGAGTTCTTCTCTTTCTCCGTATTTTGGTTCTTCTCGTAATTCTTCTACTTCAATATCTCTTTGTCAGTTTGGTGAGTTTTTCCTTCTTCTTTTATTCCTTTGTTATAACTGATTCTCGTTGTATTTTTTTTTCTTTTCAATTCATATTGGCTGACTTGTTTTCCTCTATTTCTTTTTTTTTTGTTATATTTTTTATTTGAAATTGAAATTGCTTTTATATTTTCTTTAACTCCATTTGATTTTGATCATCAAATTTATTAGTCAGAGGCTCATAGATGATAGTTATATAGAGATAATTAATATTTTATTCGTACAAATATATCAGAAGTTGTAATTTATAATGTATGTTATTTTAGATATAGACATTATATATGTTTCTTAAATTTATAATTTAAAATACATAAAATATAAAGATTTTATTTATCTATTGATAAGGAAAAAGGGTGAGGGTATTCAAAAATTAGATTCAGAGCTTAATATTAATTATTAAAATGATATCTTTTATCAATAAATTATAAATTAGATTAATGAAAGATCAAATTTTTAAATTTAAATGTGTTAAAAATAAAAATAAAGTTAAACACAATCGTAAATTATATACAGAGTCAAATATTTAAATACTATAATATGTATAAGTATTGATTCAAAGTAAAAAGTTCAAATAACGTATATAGTTAATAGTATATAACTATAAACTTGATTTAGTTTTTACTAATAGAATTTAAGCTAAAGATAATTATGAATGATTGGTTGAATGAAATATTAGTATATGGTCTTTATTTGAAATGATATTGGAATATCAAAGATAATTGAATTTTGAATGTGAAAATAGAGTTGGAAGGAGAATGGGGAAGACAATTAAGTTGTTCGGGTTTGGTTCAGCCGTGACAGTGGAGGAAGTGAAGCACTTCGTGGAGAATTACACCGGTGAAGGAAGCGTGGCAGCGGTGAAAGTAGGGCAAAGAGAAGGCGGCAGAGCACACGCCAAAGTCCAGTTAAAAAACGAGGACGATGTCGACAGAATCTTGTCATGGACAGCTAGCCGAGCACTATGGCACAACGATTCTTATTTGAGAGCATGGCCGATGAAACTTGACATTATCCCACAACCCAAGCCCAAATTCGATCTCGTCAGTATCGACGATTTGATGTTGCATTTCGGTTATCCGGTGTCCGGAGGCAAGTTTTCCATTCTTTGGAACCAACCTCACGTCTCTTTCAAATATGGTCCAAAAATGGACAAATTATACTTCTTTCTGTCTTACAATTCAATGGATTACAAGCTCGAACTGTTCAATGACAATGTTTGGCGGATTGTGTTGCATTATCTGCCTGATCAAACAAATAAATGTCTCGTTATTCAGGTATGTTTCAAACTAATTGCTTTAATTTGGATCCATGTTCTTTTGCCTTATGGTTGAATATGAATAATACTTTACAAATGTTTTCGTGAATAGACTTATTCATTTTTTCTATACTGATTACTAAACTTTTTTATCTACATTAGTAACTGAATTTGTTTATTTTTATGATACCGGTAATTTGTTAAAAATGATTTTAATATTTTTTTAAATTTTACAAATTTATATATTTATATATATTACAATTTCTCATCATTTTATAGTGTGGGCCAAAAAATAGATACTAATTTAATAAATAGACAAATTTAATAAAAAAAACTAAGTACTAAAATAAAAATTGGATAGTTATAAAGGCTACAATCTGACTTATTCCTCGATTTTTATTTTTTCTTATAAAGAATTTACGGTATATGTTCCTAAGAATGAAGTATGGAGTATAAATATAATTATATTGTTTGCTAACATTAAATATTGAATTTTTTAAAATTATTAATTTACAATTTTGAGTTTATAAAGTTAAAATTTTATACTAGTTTGTATAATTGCATTGCTTAATAATAGTATTATTATTATTTTTTTAAATTATTTTATTACTTTAATCTTATCAGTATAATAGTTTGTATTATTTTAGATAGTTTCGAATATAAAAAATTTAATAAAAAAGACAAAGTTATTTAAAATGTAAACTTTTAATAAAAATAATTCCATTTTCGTATTTATTGTATTCAACATATTTTAAAACTAGAAGTAAAACTCATTAGATTTAAATAAAAATAAATATGATTATTGACTTCATTGTATCTTACAATCTAGCTACTCGGAGCCCCTCGGATCTATGAGAGAGATCCATCAGCTCTGAGCACCTCAAGGGAAGTTGCAAAGGATGAACAGTGGGTTAGGGAAGTGGATTTCACACCAGGCAATTGCATTGGCCAATCTTCTGCAATATGTTTGGAGATTCCTCGATCAGTTCAACTCCCCAAGTTCGATCCCAGTTTGTTCTACAAGAAAGTAGAAGACCATTTCCTGCTCCAGGAAGGATCAACCTTTTCATCTAACACTGATCTCGTTCCCATCATAAACCCACCTACAACCATTCACATACCCTACAATATCTTGTTCAAAGTCAATTCTTTGGTCCAAAACGGTTTTCTTCCTCCCACGGCACTCGATTCCCGGTTCTTCGAGTCTGTTGATCCCAATCGGATCGATACCGTGTTCATCGAACATGCGCTGGAGAAAATGTTCAGCCTCAAAGACTGTTTCTATGAGCCTGTTAAATGGCTGAATGAACAATACAAAGAATACCGCAACAAGCCTCCTAGACCTTCCGTTCTTCCTGAAGGGTTGGTAGCCGTAAGAAGAATTCAAGTGACACCTTCTAAGGTTTATTTCAGCGGTCCAGATATCAATCTCTCCAATCGTGTTCTTCGAAATTATATCAAAGATATTGACAATTTTCTTCGAGTTTCTTTTGTTGACGAGGAGCTTGGAAAGATACATTCGTCTGATTTGTCTTCCAGCACATCGGTTACTGATGGAAAACCTACTCGGATATATCAGAGGATATTGTCGACTCTAAGAAATGGTATACTTATTGGGGACAAGAAATTCGAGTTTCTTGCTTGTTCGACAAGTCAATTAAGAGAGAACTCCATTTGGATGTTTTCCTCAAAGCCTGGGCTTACTGCTGAGGGGATACGAGAGAAAATGGGTCATATCCATGTCATAAGGAATGTGGCCAAATATGCAGCCAGATTAGGCCAATCTCTAAGTTCATCTAGGGAAACCTTTCAAGTGAACCAGAACGAAATTGAAATAATTCCCGATATAGAAGTTGAAATCAATAATGACACTAAGTATAATTTCTCTGATGGCATTGGGAAAATATCGGCTAAACTAGCCGAGGAAGTGGCTAGGAAATGTGGATTGAGAAACACACCATCGGCATTTCAAATTCGGTATGGCGGTTACAAAGGAGTCGTAGCTGTCGATCCATCATCTTCGGCGAAATTATCCTTGAGAAAGAGTATGCAAAAGTTTGATGCGGACTCTACAAGTCTTGATGTTTCGTCATGGAGCAAACTTCACCCTTGCTACCTTAACCGGCAAATAATCATCCTTATGTCGACTCTTGGGGCGAAGGATAATGTTTTCGAGATGAAGCAGAAAGAGTTTTTAGCTCAATTGGATGCAATTTTGGTGGATCCAGAAAAGGCAAGGGAGGCAATGGATAGGATATGCCATGGTGAACTTGTAAAAATCTTAAGAGAAATGATTCTGTGCGGTTACAAACCAGATTCTGAACCGTTCCTTTCAATGATGTTACGAACGATTCGTGCCTCAAAACTGCTCGATTTGAGGACAAGAACAAGAATTTTGATTGAGAAAGGAGGGATTCTAATGGGCTGTCTGGATGAAACCGGGACACTCGAATATGGTCAGGTTTTTGTGCAGTACTCCGACTCTAAATCGAGGCAATCTTCCAGTGAGACCTTATTAACATTCAACGATCGTCAATCAAATCAAAATTGCCATATCGTCGAGGGGAAGGTCGCAATTGCTAAAAACCCTTGTTTGCACCCTGGAGACCTACGGGTTCTACAGGCTGTGGATGTTGTGGTCCTGCATCACATGGTGGATTGCATTGTGTTCCCTCAAAAAGGCCCTAGGTATGACTTTCCAATACTCGAATGCACTTTTTTTTAAAATACTTGAGAATCCGTGTTTAAATATGTGTTGAACACGAATATTTTAAACTAACGAAAGAGTCCAAGGAACATACTTTCTCGATTGCTAAATACTTGTTTTACTGATAGTGGTTACATGATCAAACAGACCCCATCCAAATGAATGCTCCGACAGTGATCTTGATGGCGATCTGTATTTCGTTTCTTGGGATGAAGATCTCATTCCTCCCTGCATCTTTCCGCCCATGGATTATCGTCCTGAACCAACTGCATTTTTGGATCGTGATGTTACCATGGAGGTATTTGCTCAAATCATTAACATTAATACTACCATTGCATGAAGCATGTCTGTATTTCTCGGGTTTCGAGTTAGTGTTCGATATGAGTGTGTATATGTGTATGTATGTATGTATATATATATTAAAATTTTCTGATACACATGCAGTATAAATCTTGAAGAATCTAAATTACTTAGTGCATACACTTGTATGTGCAGGATGTGGCAGAATATTTCACTAACTACATAATCAACGACAGCTTGGGCGTCATTTTTAATGCCCACACGGTGTTTGCCGACAAGGAGCCAGCAAAGGCAATGAGCGAGCAATGCATTGCGCTCGCCAAGCTATCGTCAAAAGCGGTTGACTACCCTAAAACTGGTATTCCGGCCAAAATACCCAACCATTTAAGCATCAGTGAATACCCGGATTTCATGGAAAAGCCTGACAGGTTAACCTATGAGTCCCAGTCTGTGATCGGTCGGCTCTACCGCGAGGTGAAAAGCATCGAAGCCGAGGTCAGTACTGCTAAACATTTCACCAGATCGGTAGCGAAACTTTCCTACGACCCCGACATGGAATTTGAAGGGTATCTAGCTCATGTCAACGACGCCTTGCATTACAAGCGTCTGTATGATCATAAGCTAGCTAGCCTGATGCTTAGATTCGGGGTAAAAACCGAGGCCGAAATCATCAGTGGATGCATCCTGAAACTGTCCAAATATTACGATCGAAGGGTAGATTTAGAGAACATCATTGCAGCGGTGAAATCACTGAGAAAAGAAACAAAAGGTTGGTTCAATGAGAAGGTTAGTAGTAGCCCAGAAGATAAGTTTGCAAAAGCTTCTGCTTGGTACCATGTCACCTATCACCCTAGCTTTTGGGGTTTATCCAGAGATGGGGCTGATGAACAACATTTCATTAGCTTCCCTTGGTGCATACATGATAAGTTGCTTCCAATTAAGAGGGAAAATTCTTTAAAAGATCCCAAACCCCTAGAAATTCAAATCAAGGTGGGGACCTGAATTCTAATGCCAAGAAAATTAGGGGGAAATCTTCACGAGTTGCGGAATCTGTAGATATCAAATCCAAAGCTGAGGAACCCAGTGGGTCCACCTTTTGTTCTTTCATGTGAATCATTTCACCAACTTGTGTGTATGTCTTTGATTTAACGTGTTCATAAGTAATTACTAATATCAGTTTCTTTTCTCAAATGAAATTCAATTTATTAATACATGAATAAGCTTAATCATGATTATTACAACAATTTAATCTTTATTTGTAATTAAGCTTCAACTTTGAAAGTAAAATTCAATTAAACTTGAACCCAGTTTCCATCAAAGACATGCAACACCACCCAAAGTCCCCAACCACTCTCACCCCTCATCACAAAGAATCAACATGGATAACTTTAAGAAGAATAAGCACATGATATTGCTACGATCAAACCCGATACAAAGTTCCGATTACATGTGGAGAAGGCAGGCGCCACTGCCGACGTCACTGTAAATGACAACACCGCAGCTAAGCAAGCTGGCCCGAAACTGATTGCATCCAATAAATGGGGAAGACGACATATTTATTGTATATCATCATGGCATATTTATTCTCCGCTTATGTTTCTTCTCTAATATTCTTCTGTTTCTACTGCATTTCTTATTTCTTCTTCTATTTCCTTTCGTTTTCTGTTTTGATATGTTATATGGTATACTTCATTTAAATTTGGCTTCCATTCCATTTTATTAGTTGATGTTATCTCTGACTCTTTACGAAATAACTTATGGCGATGATTTTCTCAATTCCCTTGTTCTACAATCATTGTTGTTAATTATATTATTTTATTATATCAACTATCGATAATTTTTATCGATAAAATAAATTTCTATAAATTAAAAATGAACAGAAATTTATTAATTAGTAAATAACTTAATATAGTTTGACTAGCTATCAAATTCTGTGTATACAAAAATTACCCGTTAGATAACACCCAAAAATGTACTTAAAAACCCAAATCTTTAGATATCTTTTTTTTCCCTTTTTGATGTTAAACCCAACAATCATCTCGTAGAACACACAAAAAAGAAAAGGCCAAACACCTATTTTCCAGATCTTAGCTAAACTAGACTAAACCGACCCCAATCCACGGTGATTTGACCACACTGACACCCTTTAATCAAATATCTCTCTTTTTAGTACCGTTTATTCTATATTTTTCGAAGTGGCACCCTTTCGGCTGAGGTGGCCAAAGGCGCATCCCCGGGGACGCGCTTTACCTGGTTTTACACTGAGTTCGATGCTACGTGTGAAAAAGCGCATCCCCGGAGACGCGCTTTACTTTTATTTTGCTGATTCAGTTGCCACGCGGTATTTTTTTAATAATAAAAATTTTATTTTTATTGTTATTATAAATTAATAATATATTATGTAAATTGTTTCAGTTATAATTTAATAATTATCAAATGTATTTTTTTAATGTGTGTTAAAGGTGGAGTGTATCATCCACATTAATCGGATAGAACAACAGATGAAAACTAGTTTTTATTTTATTGTAGTTATATGAAATTTGTATAAAATTATTATATTACACGTATGGTTATATTATTTTTTTTTATTTTGATTATCGATCTATTAATTTTATCACTTAATTATTTAAATATTATCAATCTAGTCATATGTTATTATTATTTAACCAAAATATTGATGCATAAGTTAATAAAATTAGTATAATTACACATTTAATATGTTATTATTATTATACATTGAGAAATTATAGAAAATGCAATTACATTTAAATATTAGAAACAAAAACATTCATTTAAATAGAATATTAAGTTAAATAAGGGTTAACGATTATGTGATGATAATAGAGCTGTACATTTTTTTCTATTGTGTCCGATGTTTCTACAATACCCACATCGTTTTTGTTCTGTTGAGTTCTCCCGAATATCCATATCACAATGTATTCTAGTAGATTTTGGACAATCTGAGTCCCTCAATAGCAATGGATCTGGTACAATTGTAAGCCAAGTTTGAATCTCATATGGGTCTCTTTCGTTTCCTATGGGAGGAAACTCAAATTCATATACCTTGAATACTTGTGAAAGTTGGTATACGGGATCAACATAATTTTTGTAGTCCAAATGCGAATGTGAGCAAGTGCAATGACATGAGAGCATGGATATTTGAGTGCTTGAAAGAAACCACAATTGCACCACCTCTCATGCAGATTAACTCTGAAAGAGTTAGCTTCAATCCCTTGCAATGGACGAGGCATTTCGGTTACACGAAACAATTCACGGGTGCGAGAAAAATTTGTAACCAACATCCCATTTGATGCAGCCACTTTTTTCTGTAAATCAGCTACTAGTCTTGGGTGGTAAATATGACCGTTTTGCATCCAAGTAAGAGCTTGTCCACCGAGCTTTGCAAAGAGTTGACGCAAACGAAAATAAGTCGTTTTGACCAATTCCGTAACTGGTAAATGACGTGTCCCCTTTAAGATTGAATTTATTGCTTCAGCCAAGTTTGTTGTCATATGACCATAGCGATACCCCCCGTCATACGCATTTGTCCACATTTCTTTGTTGATGTCCATAATGTACTCGCACCCCTTCTTATTTTTGCCAAACAACTCTTGTAGCATCGACTCATACCTTTGAGGTAAAAGTTCGTAACCTAAGCCATTATGAATATGTAATAGTTAATATGAAGTATAAATAAGTAATACAAAAATGATAGAAAAATTGGGGAAAGTAACATACCCATCCGCATGACTAATTGATGTTCATCGTTCTTCTTGTATTTTCCGTAATAGTTTGCAGCAATATGACGGACACAATAACGATGTTGAACATGTGGAGGTCTATACATTGTACCCAAAGAGTCCATTGCTACTTTTATCCCGACTCCTCGGTATGAAATAATGCATACTCGTTCCCTGGTGACAACATGTAAACGTAAATTTTTAAAGAAAAAAGCTCAAGACTCAGTGTCTTCTCCTTGAACGAGGGCAAACGCATCGGGAAGAATATTGCGATTTCCATCTTGGACCACAACCAATAATAAAACTTGCTTGTATTTCCCATACAAGAAAGTACCATCAATTTGGACAACTGGTTTACAGTACTTGACTGCATTAATACACTGAGGGTAAGTCCACAAGACACGGTAGAATTGGCAGCGATCACGAACCACTCGATCATTCACGTAATGATGTTGAGTTTCGAACTCAACAATTGTCCCGGGATTGAGTCTTTGCACAACATGAAACCAACTGGGCAGCTCGTTGTAAGATGAATCCCATTCTCCATGAAGTTTGCAAATGGCATTCTGTTTTGCCAACCAAGCTTTTTTATATGAGACAGTGTACCCATATTGTGATTGTATAGCAAAAATCAACACTGCAACAGCTATATGAGAGCTTTGCTTCACAATGGGCATGATTGCTTGGCAAATAATGTTGGAGTCCAAGTTGGGATGATCCTGGTTTATACCTCTTGCACAACACGTATGAGGATCGTTGTATCTGGTTAGTTCTCATAAGTTGTTCTTTCTCTTCCTCTTTGATACACGAACCATCCATTGACATCCGTTGTCACGTTGGACGCAATAGCAGACATATTTCTCTGTGTTAGATCGATCAACTCGGGACTGAATTGAGTTACGAATATTATAACTCTTTATTGCCATCATTGCTTCCTCCTTCGATGCGAACTCCATTCCAATATGTAAATCACCGTCATTAACTGTTGATTGAAGTCCATAATTGCCAACATCAGGAAGATCCGGAAATTCAGGCTCATACATTGCATCATAATCAACCCCATACATTCCAATATGTGCAGGAAGTTTGGCTGGTGTTGTATTTATCGGAACGTCATCCTCGTCATCATCAGAATGTACGTTAAACTGTGGTGAGTCAGGTTCAACGAATAATCCCGTTTCAGCACCATCTGCACCTGGCTCCCGAAGAGGTTCTTCTGGTAGAGATGATGGTTCCTCCGATAATCTAATGTTGAGGTCAAATAAGTTCCCGCTTGTGTGTCCTCCCCTTGAACTTGAGGCCATTGTATCACGTGGGATGTGAATAGGCTGCCGTCTCGTTGGCATTTCCATATGTAAGTCGAAAACATTGGCAGATGAATGTCTACCCCTTGAAGTAGAAGAGATGTTGCCATATGGATTATTGGTGAAACCATGTGGGTTGAGATCATAAGCAGTTGTAGATGAATGTCTTCCTACTGAACTTGATGGCATGGCATATGGTGTTGGATCCGTCATTAATGATGTGAAATCATTATAGATCAGTTGTGTCGGGCTATCAACTTGATCAGCTTGATATACAATGCCAAAGTGAGAGGAATATGGGAGACCATGAGAAGCACGAACCTCAATAAAAGACGCATACATTTCAATAAGAGATTGTGAACTTCTCATATGAGCATCAACCATCATAGAAACATCATCATCGTATGAAAGCTGAAATGATGTATACGTGAGCAGAAAAAGTTCAGTAGGAAATCTGTACTGAAGTGAAGATAGTCTTCTCCGGCCTGCTACACGAATCTTTAACGAAATTTTTGTGATTAAATCCTCAAGAGTGATGTTTCTCTTCAAGGTTAAGGGGATATAATGATCTGACTCAAAAACAACCCCCTCTTCAGCTTGTTTAATTTCTCCGTCATACAAAACAATAGTAGAAAAATGACTCATTTTCAGAGAATAGAGGATTGAGATTTTTGAGAAATTAAGAGTTTGAGAATTTCAAAGCTTGTGAACTGAAGTTTGTTTTGAAAGTTTATAATATGTTGCAGATAATAGTGTCTATAACCAGGGTACTATTCACGTGAAGGCGCGTTCCCGGGGGGCGCCTTCCATTATTTTGTCAGAGAATATGTTATTATTGCCCTATTATGTCACTTATGTCCCCCGGGAACTATTTATGTCAATACCTATTATTCCTTAGGGGACTGTGAAGGCGCGTTCCCTGGGGCGCGCCTTCCATTATTTTGTCAGAGAATATGTT